AATATCATCTACCATCACGAATTCATTCATTTTATATGTTTCCTTTTTATAAATTATGTAAATCATTATTCGAATCTTTTTATATATTAAATAACAAAATATGCCTCATTACGTGGATTTCCGATAATTCTTTCCCAATGGAAAAGAGGATTGATCGAAGATTTCCCGCCATTGAAGTACATGTCGAACGAAATCCCACCACGATTTGCGGACGTGAGTTCCCATGAGAATCCTCGCGTGCTGATGTTGGCCAAATTGCTATGTCGAATCCAGATGAAATCGCTTTCATAGGGATATACATTGGAATTCACCGATATTCAAATATTTTTAAATCTTTTTTTTTTTTTTTTATTGATTGTATTGAATTTCCCCTTAATTTTAGATATTAATTGATGATCGTAGATATCGGTAATAAACTTATTTATGTTGTCTTCGATTAAATTACTGATTCCATTTCGATTAATGATAAGTATTTATAATACGATATAAATGTATTCTCTAAAATTAAATGAAATATGTTTAGAAATCGTTAGAAATTTCTTTCTTCTTTCGTTGGAAAAAATTTAAAATTCACCAGACGCGAAGAGAAGTCTTTTCACTTTGTTCCAATATTTAAACTCACTTAATATTTACAATCCAATAATCTTCGTTTAACGAAGGAATATTAAACAAATCAATGTACTGTACACACTTGAATAAAATAATCTAAGAGACTCGAGATTTCGTTCCATCGCTTTTTGGAAGATTTAGAATGGCTTCATGGATCTTTTATAAAATCGCGTTTATTATTCGAACATCATAATAGTTCCTTCCTATTAAACGGCTTCAAAATTTCTCTTCTCTCGGTATATATATCACGGTGACTAACACTGGGGAAAAAGGGCTTGCTGCCAATTATCCTAACTTATAATCCTACCCAGCTTCGTCTCCGCTCTCTCTTTCTCTTTTTCTCTCGCTACTTATCCCTTTTTTCTCTTCGGCCTCTTTTTTATTCCTCGATGAACATTGCGAGTCTCGCCGCAAATGAGCCACTTCAGTTTATGAGAGATTAGCCTAGGGTGTTCGGCAGCTAACTTCTTATCCTTCTCTCTCTCTTTCTCTCTCTTCCTTTATGTGTGCGCGCGTGTGTGTTTTTTTTTCTCTCTCTCTCATTATTAGGGTCATACGGGAGGCGGAGATTGCTGAGATTCAACCGCGGACAAACAAATTCTGAAAAATGCGAGAAAGAAACGGAGCTCACGAGGTTTGGTACCCCGACACGCACTTTTAATTAAGCTCCAACGATATTTTCCTGTGTTCGATGCAATAAATTACGAAATCAATTGTTTCTCATTGGTATTATTTTTTTTTTCCTCACATATCCTCTTCATCTTTCCACCCTTTCATCATTACACGAATAATTTTTTGAAACGAATTCTTTTATCGTTGATATCTTCTTTAAAATCGTCAAATAGGAGAGCTTTGCAAACCGAATATACAAGATGAATTTCGTCGAAGAATTGTAGTAAATATTTTACCTATCAAGTGTAATATGAGTGTTACATTTAATTTATCGATTTAAATTATTTTTTTGCAAAAAATACCGTGCAACAGATTACATTAAGTAGTTTATCGACAGAGTTTATTAAGAACGGTTACTATAATTCAGACAATAAGTGCATAGGTGTCACTTATTGTCTGAATTCTGCCTTAATTGAACTAAATTAATTATGCCACAAGCGAGAAACAGAGGAGACATAATGATATCTTGTGGAATTTTGTATGTACATGCTGTGAAACATCGATTTCAAACGAAATTCTTATAAAAAAAATTTGAAGAATATCTAATAGGATTGGAAAAAACTATCACATTTGACACAGGAATAAAACAAATTATTGGGTGATCGAGCCGAACAGTAAATATACTGATATCTACTAATAAATATTTATAATACAAGGATTAAATAATTCGTGGATAAATCCTATCTATCGGAAAGTAAAAGATTTCCACGTAAAGAATAAACACATCGTTTATAAATCCCATCTACATGAAAAAAAATTTTACCCTAAATTTTACCCTAAATTTTTATCCATTATATAAAAATCCAAATCTAACAAAGATATTTCATTGTAATAATTTTGAATGACAAACGAATTAATAATAAATAATTATATTTTTTAATATTACCTTCAATATCCACGTTTTGTGAGATGATTCAAGATGCTGAAAAAAAAAAAAAAGACAAAGAAAAAATAGTCAGAAGGACTACCAAAATATTATAATAATTATCCACTCAATATACCCGAACAAACCGTGAGTGGAATATATTTCTCTTTCGCAACACTAGTATGCTAAGTTTACAAAAGAAACCGTAGAGTGCTTTATTTTATTTGCAATGCAATTTTTAATCAAAAAAAAAAAAATGAAAAAAAAATAAATGATTCCCGAATATCTTAGACGTATTAATAATTTACGTAATACTAATAAATGCTAATTTATGCACTCATATTTTAATATACGCAACACTAATAGCGAAGAACTGAAGTTGGTGCAGCCATATCAAAGGCTGCCGTCGTCAAATCACCATTGTGCAGCTTTTTTAGCTGCATGATGATTCAGGAACAATTTCCACCATATCAGTGGAAGAATTTTGGGCATATTATAAACGCAACACTAATTAAAACAATCGCGATGAAATAATATCGCAACACTAATTTTAAAATGAATCTAATAATAATTTACTGTTATTCTATGAATGAAATACAATAAATATCCCGATATTATGAAACGAAACACTAGGAAATGAATTAAAAACTAATGATTTTGCAATTTAAATATAAATATAAAAAACTATATAAAAAATTATCTAATTCAAAATATTTAAAAAAATCGCGATATTTTAAAATTACGTAATACTAACGCAAACGCGATTATCGCTTTAATGTAAGATTAATTCAATCCGTAAATAGTTTTTCGCAACACTAATAAAAAACCGTGAAATTATTTCGCAACTCTAATTCAACCCGTAATTAATTTATCGCAACACTAATACAAAACCGCGATTTGCCCACGATGATTGCATCTGGATGATGGGCCCGCATGCATCGGCCGGACAATACACAACATTTACTACGTGATTCTAAAACGAGCACAGTGACAAA